TGAGTACTGCGCTGGGACAGGGGACAGCTGGATGTGTACTTGTACTGGGCGTCTTTGAGGTGCTCTGCCTCATGAAAATACCATCTTCAGAAATGCTGTGAACGTAAACTGCAACAAAACGGAAATTGGGAGTGCCCCCATTCATCCCTTCTTATTTTCAGTGGCAGGAAAAAACCATCGCGACGTGCGTTTGTGTCTGCGTTCAGTGAGGGTTTTCACGGCTGAGTGATGGTATGGAGGCAGGCACAAAACCGAAAGCAGATGTAGCCAGAATCCCAGTTTACTATTCTGTCCCACCCTGGTCTGGGTTTCCAGGCCTCTTCCTCCTCCTCACGGTTGGACGATTCTTTGGCTGATAGTTTTTGCTGGATTTGTTTGTTTGGAAGACTGGCAACTGAGCCAAAGTAGAGGAAAATAATTTAATTTTAAAAGCAAACAAATAGCAAAAACAAAACCAGCTTTGCAATCCCTTAACACCAAGATAAGCGGCTCTGGGTAGTAAACCATTGCCTTTTCGGCGTGGAAAAAAAGATTGTATGCAGCAGTGGTAGCTCTGTAGTTACTGGTGAGGCAAGACGTGCCACAGCAGGAACCGCGCTAACGCCTCTGCTTTGGTACCTGCTGGCTTTGGAGCTAGTAGGGTCGCTGAGTTCACCGGGAAAAGCATTTGTGCAAATTCATTAAGCAATTGTATGTCAATTCTTCGTTGCTGTAAATGAACAAAAACCAGAGTAAATAATCCTTCTGCGTAGGGATGGCTTAACCAGTATAAACCCATTCTGGAGTAACAGCGACATCTAATTAAGACCCTATTAGTTCTCACAAAATAAGTCAAAGGGAATTGAAGATTTCTAGGACATGATGGTGAGGGCACAGATTTTGTTACTCTCTTTTGCTGTGATTTTTGCAGCTTGATGCCTTTTCCCCGAGACTCCTGCAGTAGTTTGAAGTATCCGATGGGGGTGTTCTGCCCGTTTATAACTCTGGAAAAGAGACCGGTCCTTTTGCTTATTTAAATCACCCGCTAACATCGATTTGGGGTTCGTTTTACCTTCTGCAGTCTGGTGTCTCTGTTTCAAAGCGTGTGGGGACAGCAGAGTATCACTGTGGGAGGAACAGGAACGTCCCTGTCTTAATACGCTGATGTTAGAGGGTTTCTTTCTTTCTAGAACACGGCAGTTGTTCCAGGGAATTAACAAGGCTGACTGAAGTCTTTCAGAGATGATTTACTAAGAGCTGGGAAGGGTTGGGATTCCCTGCTCTTCGTCTCACGTCATTCCTTGTTGCTCGGAAGAGTGTCGGTCAGTTGGAGACCTCGCGAGCCCCGCGCCAGCGTGTCCCCGGTGGTTCTGTGCGTAAAGTCCCTGTGTGGCTGCAGAGGAGATGCGAAGGTAGATGGCGAATCTTCCTAGCGTGGTTATCGTTGGGGTGTTTTGGCCGTGGAGATGACAGCAAACAGGGCAGTGGATGTGATTTAAAAGGCTTTTACAACAGCACAAGGGCTGTTTTGGGAGTTGAGCATCGTTCTGCTGATTGTACCTTTTGAAATTTACCCTGAAGGGGAAATTGTGAAGGTAAGGGAGGAGGAGAGGGCTTCGTGGTGATGGGAGAAAAATAGCCAAAAGAGGAGGGAAGGTGTGTGAAAGGACCCGTAGTCTGGACAGCCAGACAAGTGGCCCGTAAGATCAGTTCTTGGAGTGATGAGTTACGTGGGGAGATGTTATACCTGCGCTGAATCGCCGTTGAGTCCACCTTTTAAAATGGTATTGAAAAGACAAAAAGAACTCAGGAAATCACATAAAGGATGGAAAAAATAGCTAACAGGGAGCATATAAAGCTCAGGCTGTACTTCTTCAGTCCATCTGTTAACACCATCTTTTCATCGTCTTTTTGATCAAATACAGAAATGCCTTTGCAAGGAGAGAATAAGGAGCGCTAAACAGATTTCCAGCCCATCAGAGAAAGTTATAATAATGTTTTATGTTGGAAATAAAGGCTAGATAAATTGGAAGTGGTGGTGATTCTTACTTTTTTTTTTTTTTTTTTTTTTTTTGTGGAACAAACTAGCAGGAAACTGTTAGGGCAGGTTGTTTCCTATCTTCAAACTGTTCAAACTGAGTGCTTTGGTTTAGGAGATGCAATTGTTGGTCCCATGCGACGATTGGAAATGATGGGCAGGAGGCAGGCAGTATTCATACCTTCACTTCTGAATTTTCTCTGGAAGTTATTGGGCAGAAAGACGTCTCCTTGAAGAGTTTTTAAACAGGAGTAGGAGTGATGTGAGTTGCCCCGTGGTGCTCTGTTGGCTATGGGTCCCCTGGGGTTGGCACCACACAGAGCTCTTGTATGTGACACAGAGGCCACGGAGGGCCTGGGGTGAAAGTCTAGGACTTCTGTTACACAAGGTACGACACAGAAGGCATCAAGCCAAATGGCCCCTTTCTACTCTGTATTTTTTTTTTTTTTTTCCCCCCAATCTCTTAGACCAAAGGAAAATCCTTATCAGTTAGGGGTAGAGGTTTGGTTTGGGTTTTTTTAATGTATTACTTTCTCTTACTGTCCACCCACTGTTATTAACGTGCAGGGTAGTTGTGTGGCTGATTTCAAATCTCTTTCACCCTGGAAACAGAGGACTAACTCCTGAGTTATCTTTTTTCTTGAGCTGCTTCTCCCACTGTCAGCAGATTGTTTGCTGTGTGAATACAATATATGATTGGTACCTTTTTGTTTAACTAAGTGAAGGCTACTTTTTAAGGGTGGAAATCAACTCAAAAGATAAATTGGTGGTGTGTTTAATAGGAGTTAGTGGTTTTATTTTCTTTCTCTTTATCGTCAGAAGTGTAGAAAGCAATAAAATAATTGGGATGCAAAGGAAGAGTTTAAATTCTGCTTTGTTTCTGTGGAGGTTACCTGTCGGTGTGGCTGCAAATCCTGGTTGGCACATATTAGAAGGCTGTGGGGGAACCTTCAGGCATCCAGTTGTGTCACAGGAGCACCGAAATGTTCCTTTTCAAATGTTGTATTTGAAAATACACATGGATTCTCATCACCAGTACTTTGAAATGTAACAGGAGATACTAGGAAGAATGGAAGTCAAACTGCCTGATAAGCGTTCTTTCTCCCATGCTCATCCACGTCAAAGCCATGATGAAATAATCCTTTTTTGCAGGTAATTGTGGTTACCACCGGTCAAGGAATACGCCTAGGAATATGAGCTGCCTTGTGTAAAGAGTACTGAATAGTGTGTAGTTAAAGGTGTTATTTGAAGATGCCTGGGAATAAAGGGCTTACCAAAAATATGTTTTCTATTCTTCATACTGTTACGTAGCTCCATGGGTTTTAATGGAAAAACTATCACCCAAAAAAAAGCAGTCACCATGTTCCAAGTCTGTAATAAGGTCGTTTCTGTGAAGCACGCAGGTCGTGTCAGCCGGTGACGTGTGGGCTTGGCCACCATCAGTGATAGCTGCACATCTGGGTGCATTTAGTGCACTCGCCTTTAATGAGCTGGCTGCCTGGGAAGCAGGCTTTCTGGAGATAGCCACAGACGCGAAAACGGAGCGGGAGGACTATTAGCACCTTTTACTGTGTCTTCCGTCTCCATCGGATCGGGAGAATAATAAAAAATAGGATGAATCTGTGTCTGAAGCTATTCGATGCTCACTTCTTGGTCTGAATGTCAGAACAGCTTTCCAGGAACCTGGAAGAGCACAAACACAAATCTTTGGCAGCACCGAATAAGTTTGGGCTTTCAGCAAACTGGAAAAGGGTGATAAAAAAGATGTATTGGCATCCTTGCCCTGCTTGTGCTGGCAGCCAGCTCTCACCCTGCCCTGGGATCCAGAGGATTTTGTTTCAGTGGTAGTTGGACCATACAGAAATAAAACGGTAATGCTAATAACGTAGCATCAAAATGTAGCTGGAAGAAAAATTATCAAAATCCTGCATTTTTAGCATGAGTTGCGGTAGGTATGGTCAGCTTTCAGAGCAGAATCGCAGAATAATGGTTTCATCTGTTCTAATGTCAAAACATAAAAGTTTATGATGTTTAAGTCAAACACAACTATTAGCTATATACTTTCGCAGTACTGTAGCTATGAATGTTGCTGAAGTGGCACCTTAGAGCTTGGCAAAGCATGCTGGCAAGGTAGAGAATTAGAAAAAGAAGTCCAAAGAACAGATTCTTTTTTTTTTCTGAACTGTGTCCAGTGGGGTTTGTGTCATTTTCACCTATGTTTTTGTGTATGTTCTTCTTTGTGTATGTATCATTCTTGTTTTCTACGTGAGTATGTGTGATTATTTGGGGAAACAGGAATGAATGGGAAGACTGGCAGGAAAAGGCAGGTATTTAGGGAAGCAGGAGCAAGAGGTGGCTCTTACACGGCAGGGACTTGTACAAGCACCTTGTGTTCCTGCGGGGGGGGGGGGGGGTTGGCAAGCGCAGGAGAGGAGACGCGTGAGCGGAGGGAGGAAGGCAGCAGGCTGAGATGCCGCCATAGGTGTTTGTGAAGTGTATTGCTTCTATGGAGGAGGCTAATGGAGGCGCAGAGGGGAAGGGGGGGGC